AGAGAGATAACACACAAACGCACCACTTGCGCAAGAAATGTAATTTGTAGTTTCTTTCCCCTAAAAAACCCCAAACACGGAGCCATAAAACATTGAACTAATAAGAATCTGCACTGCTTGGCACACCACAAATCTTATGATAGGCCAAAATATTAAGGAACAAAGCCTTTGATGTCTTTGTAGCTGTTACACGTATAATTCAGTTTCCCGTCTCTGCTTTTTTAAGTTGCAGCCTGAGTCTGGGCGACTCCGTTTACTTTCATGCTTCTTAAAGAATGCTGTTTGTTTATTCTGTTCATCTTAAATGTTTACTTTGTGTTTGCAAACGTTTGTGTTGCGCTTGTGGTTGCGTAACATATTTACGCGCGCCTGCGCTCGTGAAACGTGTCGCTGTCTAGCTGTTAAGTCCATATTTACGAGTGCGAGTTTTTCTGCTCGCCACGTTACAAAGGGAGGAAATGAAACTTCCTCGTGTCTCAGACAGAGTGTAGCACGTCGTCTGCTGCTCTAATCCCTCACCTGCTCCGCATTACCAAATCCCTATTACCTGCAGCCCAACTAATCTTGGGATGTAGTTTCCGTCAGGTAGGATTAATAACACCCCTCTGTGGCTGCTGGAGTGTTTGTATCTGTGTGAGTGTGTTCACATCCCCCACCCCCTCCCCCGGCTCCCTTCTTTAATAAGCATGTTTAAATTTATGGTTGCAGTTCATCGACGGACGGCTGGCCAAATTGAACGCAGGCCGTGGCTTCACTGACGTGTTTGAAGAAGAGATCACAGAGGGGGGCTTCTGTGGAAGTGAGTACTGCTGGACTTGTCTGTCAATTAGCTGCGTTATTTTTATTTGCCATATTTTAATGCAACGCACAGGAAGTATCAGCGAACAGAACGAGGTGAGGCCGCTAAACTGAAAATAATTAGAAGCCTTTTTAAAAAAACTGAAATGTTCACTCAGTGTTTGAGGCCTGCTGTAAGATATCGCAGCTGCAACCATGTCGATTTTAAATATTAGTGCACTGATTATTATATAAGTGACACCGATGTCATGACTTGCAGTTGCTCTTTGCTGTTCTCAGGTTTAAAGTTTCACACGCATCCTGAGTGTTGTTTGTTCTCGGGCCGATAATAAAACGCACGTGTGAACCTAGCAGAGTGCAAACCAAAGAGCTTATTGTTTCCTGTTAAAACAAAGCCTCGCAGGACAAATTTGATCATATAATCGCAGCAACACAGATTTTAGACGGTAAAGAAAAGAAGCGGTGCCATCCAGATGTTGCTGCCGTCGTGCTTTTAAGCTTTTCAGTGTGAACTCTGACCCCGACCACACTGTGGTCTGATAGGAGAGCCTGAGAACTATAGAAAATCTCCATAGACATGACAAAGGCATTTGACTCTATAGATCAGGATATATTAATAAGAAAACTGGAACGTTATGGTGTCAGAGGGGTCGCTTTAGATCGAGTCCAGAGTTATTTAACTGACAGGAAGCAGTTTGTGAAATTAAATGCTCCCTATGTGCACATTGCTTGTGATGTACCCCAAGGGTCAGTTTGGGCCCAAAATTCTTCAACTCAACACTAAACAAGGCAAAGCAGGTATTAGACAGAACATGCCTCCATGTTCTGCTGTTCACTGGTTTCACCTTACTTAAGCTACTGTGCAGAGGTCTGGGGCCACAACTGTAAAACTACATTACATCCACTTTGTACTCTTCAAAAAACGCAGTTTGAATCATCCACGCTGCAGGTTACAGGTTACTGCAGTCTGAAATATTGAAATGTGCCGATCTAGTGAAATTCCAAACAGCACAAATTCTATTCAAAGCAAAAAATAAGGAACTGCCAGGAAATATTCAGAGTATGTTTGTTCTTAAAGAAGTTATAATTGAAGGGTTTTTGTAAGTGAAGGTCCGTACTGCAAGAAAAAGCTTCAGTGTTTGTGTGCATGGAGTGAAGCTGAAGCAACGTCCAACAGAAAACAGTTCAAAAAGAGTTAAAAATATGATCTTCTCGAACTATAAAGACATGAAAATGTTGAAATTAAGTGAAAGTCTCTAGAAAATGTCATGATGTGATATTAACTTTATTTTGTGTAGTATTTTTCTCTCTTTGCTAAATGTTGCTGTTTATTGTTTGCATGATCAAAATAAATTAACAGTCGATTATTTTACCAAAAGCATAACGATGTTTCACTGTGGCTGCATTTCCAGCAGCCAGGATGGGGCTTCTTTCGAACCCTGAACGATTAATCACATGTCCTGTTTTATACGTCCTGTCAGGTAATTCTCGGTCTTACCAGCAGTGGATGCACACCGTAAAGGTATTTACCGAACATGCTGTATCTATATCTATACCTTTCCCAGTGCTTTTATTTTTATATATATTATTCCCGAGTTATACTTAATTGAAAGCATGACAGGCGCGACTTGGCGTTTGAAGCCTCGCCGTTGCCTTTGGAATGAAGGCGCCGCCTGAACGCGCAGATCGAGCTCGAGTGCAGTTGGGCGCGTGTGAAGCGGCGCGTGCAGCAGGACAGCGGAGACGGACGGGGAGGGAGACGGAAGCGATTTGACGTGACAAGACGTCCTCCGACATGACGTGTTGATCTGGCAGCAAACACGGGCGTTACTCCGCTGAACCACGCCGAGAACACGCGTCTCTCCCGCCTTCATCTCTCTCTGGCCATTTCCTCCTCTTCTCTTATCCGTCTGTCTCGCTCTCTCATTTCTGTCACAGCCCCCCCACCCCCACCCCACCTCACCACAACCTTGGCCTCTCCCTCTCTCACTCACCCCCCCCAAAGCCGTCAGCTAAGGCTGAATTAGTCCTCTAGAGTGCTCTTCAAAGGTTTGTTAAAGTTCATATTTCCTGACTGACAGGGATCTATAAGAGGGGCCTTCACCTCGGCCCCTCTTCTCCTCTCCCTCTGCCAACTTCTGAAACGCTGCCTGCCATTTACTCTGTTTAGCCGTTTAGCCGACGCTTTGTGCTTACACTAAAGACCCAGCAGAGAGAAAAAGAGTTGAGACGCCAAAGGAAAAAAGCAGCAAATCGGAGAGACAAAGAAGAAAGGCGGCGAGAGATGCTGGGTGCCATAATGTCAGTGTGCAGAACTCAAAGTACGAATCAATCACATACCATCCTTTCTATCACTGTTCTAGGCTGCTTCTAAATAAAACCACGTCGTCTGTCGCTGCTCGCTGATACTGTTTGGTGTTTATGCGTCGCTGTTAGCAGCTGTGTTGTTTTGTAGATTGTAGCTAAGGTGTGCGCTGTAAGTCGTGCTGCGGCCAACGTGTGGCGAGTGACATAGGGAGCCGATCAATCGGTGCGATCGCCCGGTGTGGTTTAACGTGAGCCGGAACTCATTTGTCGCCAGACTGATTGCAGTGAAAGTCGATAAAGCCGCATCTCTGCGGCTGTAGCAGTAATTGATTCAAATGTTCTTTTGAATGTTTGTGCGTTTGCCCCAAGCGCCCGTCCCTGACTGACAGTTTCCGTGTGTTACAGAGAGGAGGAGCGCTCTTCAACACAGCCGTGTCAAAGGTAAAGTGTTGCTTTGCATTTGTGCACAACAAGGATTCAAACCTGGAAGAAAAAGAGGTTTTAAAGATGTTTTTAAAGGTTTTCAAATGAACTTTTTCAAACTTGGCCGACGAGTCGCCAACAATCAGGAGAATTGTTCACAGCTAGTAAATATTAGATGAGCGTGTTGTTATGTGGCCTACGGTAGGGTGGCCGGGTGCCCCGCTGGATGTGCGAGGCTCTCTCATCCCGCCTCTTGTCTGCATGTTTTTTTGCCACGGGGATCAAAGTATTTCTTGATGTTACATGAAACCAGAACAGAATGTTAATGCAACATGTTTTGTGTGTAATCTGTGTCTTACTGTGTGTGTGTTTCCCTCCTAGGCCAAGGTTCATGCTAAGAAGGGGATCCGGGACTTTAGGGGCATACTTAAAGCAAGGGTGAGCTGCACCGGACCTTCGCACGCTGTCGGGGGCGTGCAAACACACCCGCGCACACATCATTTTGTTGGGAGGCCCTTGGATGGATACATGCCTCCCTCATAGAAACAGACAGGAAAGCTGCTTTACATGGAGTGTGTGATTCTGACGTAGGGGCCTTTTAATGACTGTTGAAGCCTGCTTAGCGCTTTGTTCAGGGCTGTACATTTTTAACCAGCGCCCCTCTGGCTATGGCCTGTCATGTCATCCGAGCCGCAGCCCCTTCTTTCTCTCTTTATTGTCTGCATATTTCATCAGCGAGCCTGTGATTTCCTCAAAGCTAATGTAACGAGGTGTATGTTTCCATAAGCCTGATGGATTTGATAAGGCAATAGCAGTTTGATCTGTCAGTGGGAAACCGAGAGACTCAGGGTGCTGATGATGAGCAGGAGGGGAGGGCGCAGCGGCGGCAAACAGAGGTGCGGAAAGTGTTTGATTCTCCGCTTAAACACGTTTCCTTTTTAGAGAAATTAATTTATGATGCGATTCAAACTGCACCGGATTTCTTTTGCTGCCAGCTGCACGAGCCCAAGCGGGGGCCCTAAAAGCACGAGCATGTCGATGCGTCAGAGGTGGTTACCGTGGTTGTTGTTGTCGTAACTGAGGGGGAAATGTTTCAAGCGACAGAGCGAAAGGCATCCATCTGTCTCGTGCTGAAAAATGTCTCGTAGAAGTGAAAAGTTTGTTTTTGGCTCTGAGACTGAAGAACAACCAGACTCTCATCAGTTTTAATAGCAGTTACGTGTATTTGCTCGTGATTCTTTTTTCTCCGGCTAATTTGGTGCACTGAGTATTTTCTGCATCACAAAGCGTCCACGTATAGTTGAAACTGTGTCACGCAGAGGAAACCAGGTAAAGCCACGTGGATTTGTCGAAAACCAGCCAGAGACTGATCGCTTAACCTTTAACGTAACGTTACTGCGAGGCGGCATCAGACGGCTTCGTTGCATTCGTTGCTGTTTTGCACGGACGTCGATATTTACGCCTGTTTTGTAACCGAAATTCATCTTCTTTGTCAGGACGATGAAGAGGAGGGGATCGTGGTCTATCCAGGATCTCCAACCAGTACCAAGAGCCTGTCTCCAAGGAGACTGCAGAAGATGAGACGGGTATGACACACACACACACACACACACACACACACACACACACACACACATCAGTAAATGAGTTAACTACATTTACACTGACTGATTACAGCAGAGCTCACTTTCACTTGACCAGAATGGATTCAGTGTTTTTCCTCTGAACTCTTTTCAGTCCACTCCCTCCCCCCCACATCTCTCTGACTCCCCTCCCTCCCTCGTTCTCCCCCAGCTCTCTGTCTCTCTTGTAGCATCTCTCAGAAGTACAGTAGTTTGTCAGGGTGCCAAATGTAACGATAAGCATTTTTTCCTCGTTCAATGCGCTCGTGTTGTACATTCAGTGTTTTCCTCTGAACAGCACGGACAGTCGAATCAGCTCATCTGCTGGTCAGCGTTTCCTCTGAAGAATTTGCTTGTGCACCATAAGTGCTAGCACTTTTTTTTTTTTGTTCTTTGTTGTGTGCAGAGCGTGCACACGCACAAAACACACATTCATCAATAAATATGCGAGGAGAAAATACTCTGTAGTTTAACTATTAGACGCTGCAGCGCGGTGTAAATGAAAATGTGTAGATTTAGCATCGCGCCGTTGGAGTCGCACACATCTGTGCTAAACAAATGCACACAGCCTCGAGGATGCTGCTTCTGCTCCTGCCTCGCGTCTGTGCTCGGCTGGTCCAGGCTGGAGCTTTTCCACCTCTTATTGCTAAACGAATATATGGACTCCCAGTTCCCAGCTTTAAAGACGCACACACACACAAACACGCCTGCGTGCACATTCTGACATTTTGGTCACAGTCGTGTAAGAGTGTGATTAGGAGAGGTTGTGCTGTCTCTAATTAGTGTTGTATTTCCTGTGTGTGTGATGAGGCTGGAAAGTCTTAGCGCAGAGGAAGGTGTGACGGCCGGGGAGAAGAGAGGAACGGCAATTAGGGCTTTTCTAAAGGCCTCCTCGGACACCTCCCGCCCCCCAGCCGGCATGCGCGCGCACCCCCACAAACATTCAGGATATACAGCCCCGCTCGTACCGCCGAGGCCCGCTCATTGCCACAGTAACGGGTCCCTGGAGACCGCTGGAGGAGGGACACGCAGGACACAGGACGGCGTGTCCCACAGCGCCGCTTTGTGTGTTTGTGTTTAGATGTAGTCCATCAGTTTCTCTTCCCGATGATGCTCCCGTTCTTTGCTCTCATAATATTGATTTTCTCTATTAGCATATTAACCAATTCACACAAATCAAAAGCACTTGCAAACACTACTTGGTTTAATTGATGAAATGGATATTAATTAATATTCATGCACATAAATCCTCGGCTGCAGGTGCAGGCCTCAATATTTTATTGTATTTTGAACAAATAGTCTGTAGTTTTTTCTCTACGTCAGTAATTTCTATACTTTGAACCGCTTAGTGCAGCACATTTACATTTGATCTAAAGACGAGCGTCACCGTTGTTCTCGCGCTCGCCGTGTCTCACTCGTCTCTTTTTTAAATTATTTTCTTCAGCTTTTTATGAAATGTTCGTGCTGTTGTTCTGCCCACAAACGTCTTGACCAGGTGTTCCTCGCACGAGAAATTGATCTCAGTGGGACTAACCCAGTTAAATAACGGTTAAGTAAAGTGGAAAAGAAGCACCTTGATCCGCCTCCCTCGCTCGCGCCCGCACGTTTGGCCCGCGCTCATCATTAAAAGAGTTTTTTTAATCTTTAGGGGTTTTTTGTCGTGTCTCTAACCACACAGCAAACATTTGTCTCAACCGTGCAAAAAAAATCCTTGTAAATATTTGTGCACTTTTAAGATCAATGAGGGTAAAACGATGATTAAAAATAGCTTTCAGTGCAAGGCGATAAAAACCTACAGTGAAAATGTAAAAAGTAACACCGTCATGAATGTGTGTGTTCATGCAGACTTATTTTAAGTGTACTTATTAAACTGGCAAAGAGTTTTGCTTTAAAAACAATCCGGTAAACACATCATGAAACATGAGCGTCTGTTTTTTATTATTTTGAGAGATTTTCTGCACCTTTTCCTTAATTTCTGCACTTAATTGACCAACAAGTGGAGTCAGTGCGTCACTGAGCCAGGAGAGAATACACTGCTGTTACACGTCTAATAAAGGTAATATTACCAGCTAATTTGTTATTAAAGCATTTTGTGCTGCGTGCACTAAACCCATCAGCGACGCCTCCACCGTACATTTAACCGAGTGACCGTCGGAGCGCCGTCCACCTGAAACACGTCAGCTGCAGAGACGCTGCAAACGCCAACGTGTGTCCTTGAAATGAAACGAATGATCCCGCAGAAGCTCCTTTAATTAATCATAGCGAAATAATCAGAGTTACCAAATTCCTATTCTATTTGATCAGCCAACACGTGTACCAGAGAGGAAGTGCTGCTGTCATATGCATTCATATTTCAGCTGCTTCCGCCACTGTGGGTGATTTGTAGTGTTTGGTGAGCGTGTTGATTAAGAATGTGGGAGTAATCCTTTCGTTTGACAGAAACGAGGCTGAACGGGGCAACAAACAGCCAGTGTTCTGGCTCCTGTATGGTTTCCTGTGAGCACCAGTTTCTGCTCAAGATTTAGCTTAGAGAGAGAGAGAGAGAGTGTGTGTGTGTGTGTGTGTGTGTGTGTGAGTGTGTGTGTGTGTGTGTGTGTGTGTGTGTGTGTGTGTTTCATGTGGCACTGTGCTCCAAACATCTGTGAATAGAAACTTTGTCTGTACCTCATCCCTTTAGTATGTGAGGCTGTATCTGAGTGCTGTGCACAAACATGCATTTATCAGTTCGCCTCAGGTTGGAGGCAACTGAATGACAGCTGTTAGGCGTGCAGAGGAGAGCAGAGGTCGGGACAGCGTTATGGGCAATGACAGCCAGCAGGCTTATGGCCGGGCTCAGCCCCCGGGCTGTGGACTCTTCACCTGGTGAAGCAGGAGAAATGCCAGCTCAGAGTTGAAGGGAAACAGGAAGCTAGCACAGATGTAAAACAGGAACAAAGTCTGCAGGATACTCGAGTGTGTGCATGTGTGCATGTGTGCATGTGTGCATGTGTGCATGTGTGCGTGCGACAATGAAAGGCTATCATTTGTCTCCGAGATCAAACGTGTTTTTACTGATATGTGTTTTAAAGACATTATTACCTTTATGTTCTGTGTAAATGAAGATGCTTTAACGGGGACAGCACACAGACCCGTCTGGGTAAAGTGCTTGGATCTGAAAGTGTCACAGCTCAATAATCTAAATTTTAAATGTGACTCTGAGTGGAGAATAGGTTTGTTATACTCATCATAAGATTAACGCTGCGCATTAGTAGCAGCAGTTTGGATGTGTTAGCGTACAGTTGCTCTGTGTGCTTCCCTGGTATCTGCATGCATGTGCAGTCTCCTCTCCACTTAGTTTCTAAGGTCTTCAGAGACCCGCCGGCTTCCTGGCTGAAACCAAAGTGCCATCTCCTGGAAGCTTCAAAGTACTGCATCGCACCCACTGAAGGACACCTGGCGATTTTTCTTTTTTTAACCTGAGGTGTTTGGTTTGACAGAATGAGCATAATGCACATTTCGTCTTCTTTTATACGGCTCCTGGTTTGAGTGAAAAGGAAGCTTTCAGCAACAGCCAGTTGGACAGAGGAGCAGTGGATCGCTCCTCAAACGCCGCTTTTTTCCCCCTCTCCCTTTTTCGAGTGAGCGGCTCTTAAACAGGCAGACACTTGGCCGTACTTCTGCAAAGGCTTTGCTTCTCCCCGAGGTTTGTTTGCATTTACTGGAATCTCTTTACATACACTGCCAAGCTGTGAGATTAGTGCCCGCTCTGAAATACCATATGAAATGTATAATGTTCAACCAGCTATTAAAGCCCACTAGCGTTTGGCCCTGTCACAGAGAGTTGTTCTGTATAACTGGTCATGCAGGGAAGGAAAGCGGAGGAGAGACCAACTTTGTCCAAACACAGCTTGTCAGAAGCACGGTGGCGACCTTTTCCCCGACTGAAGAAATGAATCGAATCGGAGTTTTTCTTCTTTGCGTGTCTTTGCTCGATGTAATCTTAGCTTGTTTATAGTCGCCATGCTTACAATTACAGTTCAGTTCCAGTAGTAATGCATTAAGAAAGTCCATAAAATCCGCCGATCCTTGTTTTTAATTTGACAAACCCCCGAGAGTTTTTTTAAATAACCTGTTTTTATTATTTTCGCGACTCCTGCTTGTCGTGGTGAGGAGGAAGGAACGGAGAGCCCGACAGACGGAAACGGTGACATCTGTCACTGACGGCCGAGTGATGGAGGGAAGGAAATGAAAGACGGGAGGCGTGGAGCGAGAATCGCTTTTTCATTTTCGCCTTTCAGCTTCCCATTAGCCGACAGCGAGAAGCTAATGAAGGAGCGGTATGATAATGTGCTGTTCTCCTGCTCGGTGCTCTCCTCGGTCCTGTCAGGCCTGTGGCGATGTGGGACGGTGACAGAGCTGTCGCAGCTGTAACAGCAGACCTGTTTGCACTGGTTAGGAATATCTCAGCGTGCATGTCTCTGTATTTATATTTTATTTGCTGTTGTTCACATCGACGTGCAGCCAATCTCATTTCTGAGCTCCGATTTTAACCGCTGCTCTTGGTTGTGACAGCTCCGCAGAGCCGGTAATCAAGTAACTACCAAATGCACACTTTGATTTATGACGGCGGTTAAATGAACTCAGTATGCTGGCCGTTAAAGAAACGAAGAAGAAGAAGAAGAAGAAGTGATAAAGCGACCCCTGCTCTTTTATTGTGAAACGCCTCGTTGTTGTAAATAGTTTGGTCTTTCCTGTTGCTCTGAGGGTCACAGTGAAGAGAGGGAATGACAAATTGATAAAGCCGTGAAGTGACGTCCCATCTATTTACTGCTCCCTGCGGTACTTCCTGTTGTGTAGACAGAGCTGTAACCGAGATCAGAGGCCGGGCGTCGTGACCTGTGTCCGGTCGCTTTAATAAACACCTACACGCAGAGAGAGGAGCTGCGTTCATAAAGGATATAGAACATGCGTCTGTAGTGTTTAAGAAAGTATTTTTGTGTCCGAAGCCGACGCTCCGCGAGTGTCTCACAGGTGCATCTCTCGCTCTGCTGGCGTGCTTTGCTGGCTGGCGTGCCGGCCTGGCCCCAGATTTACTGCCCTGACACAGGAATCCATTAAAAGCTGTTTAGGGATCCCAGGCCTGAGCCCCTCTGAAATCTCTTTCATTATAGCTCCAAGCTACCATAGAAGGGGAGCGGCTCGGCCAATCAGCAGTGCCACCACATGTGTTTGTGTTTAGCCCGATGGCTGAGAGGCTTAAGTGGCTACTGCACACATCTCCTCGGCTGACTTTTATGGAGAAAATGGCACTTTAACTCTTTGTGTGTGTTTTTTTTTTTTGTAATAGTGTGCATGCGTGTGTGTGTGCATGCGTGTGTGTGTGCGTGCACACGTGCGTGCACACAGGCCCTAAATGAGGCCAGCGCAGCCACACGTTACATTCCGCCTGTCTGGCTGGCACTGCGTCAGCTAATCAAGACCGGCTTGCTTCACCGTTCCAATACTGACCCCCTCCAAACTGCCCCCGCCCCTCAAACACACACTCGCACACCATTCCCATCATTCTTTGGGGCTTTGAGGAATCCTGCCTCACCTCTACATTTCCTTCCTTCCCGTTTTCACTCGTTTACCTTCCTCTCTCGCTCTTTGTTCTGGCGTTTGAGTCACGGTGCACGATCGCAATCATCCTCAGAGTTCCTTCCTGACACTCTGATCACTTTTGAGGCTGAACAACATCTTTTTTTCTGGGTGACGGCCTTTGATAACGCAGCTTACGTTAGTTTAAAGAGAAACGTGCAGAGAGGTGGAGCCTAAAAGTGGTATTAAAAAGCAGAGAAAACATCGCTGTAACCCACTGCGGCGGTGCTGTAACTGCACCCACGGGCGCTTAAAGACAACACAGATATTGTTAAAGAAAGCTAAATGAGCAAAATGTAAAGAGTGTGAATTAGAAAGCGTGAGATGAGTTAACATCAGGGAACATGAACGCAGTGAGAGGAACATGTGCATCTTAGTGGAAGGCATGTTAATAAGTGGCCCGGGGCAGATTTGGGCTCCCCCGGGGAGAGTCCTGCCCCTGCGCTGTAAAGCTTCTGTCTCTTCCCTAACCCGCCCATTAAACACGGTACACAGGTGGCTTATTAAACCACCGTGTCAGACGACCGCAGTGCGCTCAGATCATTCACCACGCTGCAGTGTCAAATGCACTGGTGCCATAATGCAAGTTATTGGTGTAGCTGGCCGTATCTTGACTCTCCAGCACCTTTTACTTCATGTTTAATGCTGAGTTTGATAAAACACTGCAGGGGATCTTAAAGATTTTTATCCCCAGACCCAAATTTGACAAATTTAGTCTCCACCCTGAGGACGCGGGCTCGTTAAAACAGGCTATTAGTCCCGTCTTATGGGGACCCACCAGACACGCACTCATTTTTTCTTCTTCTTTCTGTCGAATCCCAAGTCGTACTTTTATGAAAAGCTGCACCTCAGCAGAACGCCGTACTCTGTCTGGACTCGTGTTTATCAGCAGTCTTGTGTTATTTACTGAGAAGCTGAGACACCCCCCCCCAACCCCCCTCGGGTCCATTTTTATTGTTTTATCTCGTTATTTTTTTCTTTCTAACTACATCCTCCTGCCTTTTTATTCTCATTAACAGCATAACTTCAGCAAGTCTCCCATGAGCATGGGCCCTCGAGAGCTGGGCTATGGGCTTGATGATGAGGAGCTGGACAATGCAAGCAAGTGAGTGAAGCCATTTTCAGTTTTGGATCGATATGTCAAGATATGACAACTTGGGGTGATGGATTCAAAAGTTGGTTATGTGCAGAAGTGCTTTTGTCCTCCTTTTTTCTTTTTCCCTCATGGCGACACTGCCCCCTAGTGGACACACTGGGCAGGAGCACGTTGATGGAATTGTGATGTCATTTGTATGATGTTGAGCAGCATATTGCATTTGACCCTCTCATAAAAACGTGGTTATCTTGTGAAAAATGATCTCTTGGACGCGCGTGCACACAGATGAAGGGGTAATCGGACGTTTCGCTCTTTTTCCTCCAAACGCAGGGTCTCCTCAGAGGACAGCGGCGACGTGCCGTCCTACAACGAGGACAGCGATGACTCGTACTCTCTCGATCTGGACATCGACTCCTCTCAGTCGGGCCAGATGAACCTTCTGGAAGAAATCCTGGATTCTCTGACGACCACGACGATGGACCAAGGAAGACTCAGTGCCGCCAAGAGTCTGGACTTCTTCTTGTCCGTGGATGATTTAGACTACAAAGCCCCGGTACGCAAGAAAATGTAGAGTAGGACGAGTCTCTTTTTACAGGAAATAGAAATGCTTTCTGCGTCTGCTTTCACCTTTTTATTTGCTAAGTTTTGAGTAAATCCAACATATCTAAAGACGGCTTCATTCTGACTTGAGGTCAAAGGTCATCATATGCATTAGTCAATAAAGAATAACAGCGAGGGTGAACATGTGGTGACTCGCCTGCCTCTTGTTTGCCAGACCAAGCCCACGCCCTGCAGCGAGTCCAGACCTGCAGATGAGAGCAGCTGTAGTGGAGGCGGCGATCAAAGCGGGTGGAATACGGGTCAGGATGACACTGTGGTCCACGGGAAACACCTTCCACCGTCCCCACGCAGGCAGCCCACCAAGAGCAGCCTGAAGATGTCAAACAAATCCGCAGCAGTCCCTGCGGCGCCCGCTGCTAGCCCACCAGTCCAGAGCGCCAACGTCTCAGTGCCGAATCCTCATCAGTCCGACCCCGACCCGCTGCCTACAGCGTGGAAACCGGGAGATTGTTTCTCTTACTCGCCAACGCTGTCCCATCGAGTCGCACCTCTGCGGTCGTCCCCCACTCTCGCACAAACCTACAGTTCCTCAGCATCTGCTTCTGACCCAAGCTGCTCTCCTGCACCGGGGGTGCGGGCGCGGACCATCTCGGACCCTCAAAGCGGCTCGGAGCCTCAGCAGGCCAAGAACCAGACTGCCTCGACCTACGTGCTCAGGAGGAAGGTCATGTCCAAGGAGACGACGAGGCAGTACCAGCAGAAGGCCCTCCAGAGGCGGGAGAGCAAAGAGGGCATGGGGAGCCCGTCGAGGACCAGCCATTCAGCCGTGCAGGTCCCCTGGGAGAAGGAGATGTCCAAAGAGGGGCTCCTCGGGCTCGGCCTGTGTTTGGGTCAGGGTAAAGGCTCGGGGGCCCCCGCGGCGCAGGATCAAGGCCTCCTGGAGGAGATCAACTCCACGTGTTGCCTCGGCGCGGTCCTCCACACCAGCCTGCAGCTCTCGCAAGTTAACAACAGTCACCACCAGGTGCAGGGCAAAGCTGCAGACGACTCCTGAGTCTGTAAAACGCAGCAGGTTTACTCTTCTTTTACGATTAGCAGCTATCTGCAACAAAACGATTCTTTTTCCCTTTGTTTTTAATCTCGACACTCGGCTCCGAGCATACGTCCAAACCTGCCAACACAAACAAAAAGCCACCGAGTGAGGAGCAGGAAGAGGACGCGGTGCGCCACAGAGATCTCCCTCCATGAGCCGTCTGCATATTTTAAAACCTGATTTATAGCGATTGGAAAAAAACAAATCAACTAAACGTCGTCGGCTCTTTCCTCTGGAATCGGATGCAAGTGCAGCGTCTCGTGAACTGTGATCCAAAACCACAGACCACAGCCGAACTGTTACCATCCTCGTTTAACCTGCTTCACCAGTTCATGACTTGTTTAAAAAAGTACAACTGCAAACAAAAGTTACTTCAGCAGACGGAGATTTTCAGTATTTCTTTCTAATGATCTTTAATAACGTTTTGTGTCGTCTAGTATTTTTCACGTTCACCCCAAACGATGCACTAAACGCATTTTCGATAAAGTCGCGGCAAATTCATCATTTCACATGATGAATTTGCACATGTGGATTAACAGCTGATGATTCCTACCAGGTACTAAAGTCTTTAGCAAAAAAGCAGGTGAGGCGGGCCTTTTGACTCGCCGTACGCTGCGTGACATGTCTGCCTTACACGGACATGTGATTTCTTTTTTAAACTCTGGTGTCTTAATCTACAGATGCCACAGCAGGTACTTTGTAATCAGAATCACTGCGACGCTCAGATCCTTTGTCGATTTAATAGAATAATGAATGATACATGATGTGCTTTAAGCTGCTGTCAGTCGCGTCCACAGTGATGTCCAAATCTCCTCAGGACACTTTGTTTTCTCCACACTGAAGAGACCCCAGTCAAAGGTCAAAGCCAGTATCCCTGCTCCAGGCTTCTCCCCCATCACGACTCTCACTTTGACCTCAAAATTACGGCCAGTTGTTGCCGATTTCATGAAGTTTTATGCGGGTGAATAAAGGTGAACTTTCTAGGAGGTGCTCTATATTTTTACGATGAACAAATCCCCTGAAAAGACCAAAACTATCAGGCTTTGTGCGTCTCGCCACTATCAGACTCCTGTGTTCAGTCTTTGGCTGGTTTTTGGTCTTTTCACAGTATTTGCTGACGTGTCTTTCTTCGCCTTTCTCACACCAGGGAATAACGGTCTGTGCGTGGGTCGGAGTCACGCTGCACTATAATGCAGCGGTTGATGATTGTACTGTAATGAAGCAATATAGTTCTCAGAGTAGCCACATGGATGTAATGTGCACAGAGTCTGAAGCATTCCTGTAACAGACTCTCCTGTGGAGAGAAACGCCGCGTCCAGCCCTCGCGGCTTCCCGTCATTCACTGCGTCACCGCAAACCCAGAGAGAAGCAGAGCGCTTTTCTTCTTCTTTTCGGGAATATTACATTTATGGTTCGTTGTTCTTATGATTTATGCCAGACGCCAGTCGGTGTGACGGTTTAATAGCAGCCATTTCTCCACTTTCTGAGAGCTGCTCTGCGTTAACGATTTGCTCATAAAATCACTGGCGTGCTTCTAAAAGCCCAAGAATCGGTTAGCGAATCCAAAACGGAGGAAAAAAGCCAAACAGACTCCAGAAGCGTTTGTGTGCTGCCCTCTGTGCTCTGTAAACATTAAGAAAATACTTCTGTACTATGCAAACATGCCAAATACTAAAGTTTCTCTGAGAGTGATTCGATTTTACTTTCGTATAAAGTCACGATTGGACTGCTTTCTGCCCCCGAACGAATAAACAACCACATTTAAAGAGCAAGCTGGTCCGTGTGCTGTGCCTTACGCAGGTACGCTGTAGGAAGCTGGGCTGTGCGTGTTTCTGACCACCGCCCGGACCTGAGAAACGAACCTGACACGAACTCGCGTTGTTTTCGTTGGTCGTTGGGTTTCGGCTGCGCTCAGCTGGTTCCGCTCAGTGTTTTTAGGGTTTCTTTGCTGCGGTGGTCGCTGGGAATCTTCCCGCTCGTGTTTAAGAGAAGATCTCGGGGTTACTTTATCCTTTTGTAAATGAGGTACTTTTCCTTTGGTTGTTAGCGGATTCCTTATGTTGTGTGTGCTCTTTTTTTTAAAATAAAAAACTTGTGCTGAGCTTATTCTGTATTTAAAAAAAGAACAATTCTCAGAGGAGTTGATTTCATAATGAAAAAGTTATTTTCAGCTGAATAGACGTATTTTTGCTGGCTTGAGTATATTTTACATGGATAATATATGATCGGTGTTGTATCTTGTAAAAACAAATTCTATCTAATATTTGAATGTTTTAGATTTTATTTTTGGAGGAAAAAAGAGATATTGACAAATGTCCCATGTAGCCGTTCACATTCAGAGGGACGTACTGACTCCTGCTCGTACACAGTAAACACGGCTGTGGCCGCGTGGACGCGCTGCTTGTGCTTTCTGTTGCTTTCATTTCGGTATTTCGCGCCTCCGTCGCCATCAAACTGAGAATGGTGGACGCGAACATCCGGTCTCGTGTGTTACGCTTACGTCGCGTGTTGGAGTGAAATGTAACATTTCGTGTAAAATGTAACAAACAAAACTAGCTACTGTAGATCTAACGGCGGAGGGGTGAGAGGGAATGTTCGAGTGTCCAGCTGCTGTTGTGAAGATCATTTGAGAAGCTTTACACTAAAACAAAGAACCCCGAGCGTGTCTGACTCTGTAAACGGGACTCGGGTTGTCCTGAAAGCGTGTATTTGCAGTGAGTGGGAGGTGGTGGATTATGTAGCATCTTTTACTGAGTGTGGGTTCATGCACAGGTTCTTCTTTACAAAGATGACGATGTCACGACTTTTACACTGAATGTTACAGTCGGCAATTAAAAATATATATATTTCCCCCTCCCCCTGTCTGGGAATCGTAATGACGATCAGCTCTTCGATGAGGCATTTATTGATTTTCCTGATACTGTGCACACTTGCATGTTCCCACTGCAGAGGAAACAACTGTCTTAAGTAACTGAGGTCAGTCTAATGTGCTATTGATGAGTAACCTGGTACAAATGCACACCATGTATGCACTGTGAACTGAAAATAAATGATACTGTTTGATGCTTCTGCATCTCCCGACTCCTGACGCTTTGTGCTCACGTGGACAGAATCAGTATTTGATGGTGGATACAAACCACACGGGGACTTCCTGTGGCGTGGGTCCGTTTTAATCATTTCATTGGGTGATGTTCTCAATAAACAAGGCTATAGCTCTAAATAACAATCTCACAGTTTAGTTTGTATGATGGCACTCTTCTCAAATGTGTTTGCGAGGGGCAGCCAATCAGAAGAACAAACGCTACTTAAAGGGGGAGGAGCAAGAATAGTTTAAGAAACCCAGGAATCATTCCGATATGGAAGCCCGTTTCCGCCACTAAAAAAAAGGATCCAAATTCTGAGTTATTTTCTTGAAATTTCGAGATATTAACTCGAAATTTTGAGAAAAGTAACTCGAAATTTTGATTTATTAATTTGGAATTTCGAGTTAGCGCTGCCAATCAGTAATCTACGTGACTGACGTCATTTCCTCGTTACCCGGAAGCTGAAGCCCTCAGCTACAAATGCTACAGCTAAGCTACCGGTATTACATCCAGTCGTGAATGCACAGATTGCTGAGTGTTTTCAGCCTGGCTTCACAAATGGTGAAATCCGTGTTATTAGCTGAATCACGTGGTGTTGCTATCAGCAAACGCACTCGCGAAAGCGCCAATTTGTTGGGATCAGTTTTTGAGTGCGCGCCTCTGCGCCATATGCTTCCGGGTAACAAGAAAGCGACCTCATTCACGTAGATTTTTGATTGGCAGAGCGAACTCAAGATTTTGAGAAAATAACTCGAAATTTGGAGTTATGGATACTAGCTGTTTTGGTTTTTATTTAGTGGCGGAAACGGGCTTCCATATTCCGAGGATGGAAGTACAGACGTGGAAATGAGTGTAAGACGTTCTGCTTTGTAGTAGTCGAATGAATGACAACAAACTCAGTTTAATAAACATTTTGATCGAGCTCAAAAGTTGAAAATGGAAAAATCACAGTAATAAAAATCATCATTACAGTATGTACAACTTCAATGGCTGCCTAGACAAATATAATGCTACTAATCCTAAAACATGAATCTGGGACTAAAGAGCTGCCACTGAAAAATGAACTTTGCACCAAAGTGGATTCATCAGAAACACACAAACACTCTATAATCGTCTTGTTGGAAACGAATCCCATGAAGCTTTTATAGCTTCCACCTCTACACCGCAGAGGGGCCCAGTGTGCAGACATCGTGGCCTATTCTAATATACTTGATCATAACCAACCCTTCCTTATACACACTCGCGGTGCTTTCATGATTGATGTGTTACTGAGAGGCGGGGCAGTATGTTTGATTCATTCATTCACAGAACATGCAGAACAGTAGCAGGTTTATCCTGACTTGTTTCCAAATGAGGCTTGAAGACGATGCGTTCATGTGCCCTAAATTCCAGCGCGTTTTTTTTCCTTTCAGCGTTCGCTGCCATCAATCCTAAATATATGGATCAGGCACAGAGATGTGACACACGCAGATGGGTATGCTTGTGTGGAACCAGGTGCAAAGCATCACAAAGATGGATGAAGGTGCTGGAAATGAAAACGCCGAGATCTTCCTGCATATATGCAAATAAAGACAGGCGGCAGTGATTTAACGTGGAGCCTCCGCGTCTCCACCGAGCTCCAGACTTCCTGTTCAAACTGCACCACTTATTTTTCATTGCTACCTGGACCACGTTCTGCATCTCAAATCAGTCTCTCCATGGGCGGCGGCTGCGTGATGCTCCACATCTCCACCCGCGACCCTTCCTTCTCCTGCCGGCTGGGACTGTAGGTGCCGTGGGTGGCGCGGCGATTTAGGGCTACTACCGCACCCACAGAGGTCAGGACGATGGCCAGCAACAGGACGACGGACCCCAGACTGATAGACAGCAAGAGGTCAGAGGTCAAACCCTTCGAGGTCAGCTGAGGAGAAGAAAGACAGGGACGAGTCAGGGAGAGAGAGAAAAACGGCTCGTGCCAATGTTTTTGAGAACACATGCTTTATTCCCCCGCCTCCATTTCTCACACACTCCCTTCCTCTCCTGACTCCTTTACGCTACACCAGGCGCTCCAAGTGTGCTGCCAAAGTGTTGATGGATGTGTTTCCCAGCTCAGCAGGTGGGTTGCGACCACCAGGAGCCTCGAGTTGCTGCGGACTCAAACCTCCCTCCGTCTGCCGCCTCTCTCGCAGTTTGGCTGGCGCGAGCGTCAGCCCCAGCATCGCCACCGCGATTGCCAAGCCAACCAGATACGGTGCCAGCACGGCGGTCACCGGCGAGCTGTGTGGAGCACGCTCCGTCTGTGAAGGATCACACACACAGGCGCAATCTTTGCCGAGGATCCCATCAGCACACACACACACGCCCAAAATAACTCGAGCAAACATACGCACACAGCTCCTTCAAAGCAGCACTGAAAGCTGCAGAGTCTGAGTTGTATCTGTGGACTTTGATGACTTGCTAATATTCTTATCTAACTCAGACTTGTGGCCGTTTGAGCCTCGCACACATGCAGAATGCAGCATCCTGCACGCAAACGCACAGAAGCCGCTCACCAGTCAGACCCCAACGAATCAGGATGTACTTAAGCTTTCCAGCAGGGGGAAGCTGAGCAGCAGATGCCCTTAAACCTACATCAGCTGTGCTGGTTGGTGTGATAGTTGTGATTCTCTGAGCGCCTGCTACAACAGCACAACAGCTGTAAGTCTCACTCGGTAACACTTGCTGACAGCATCTTCATAACCGACACACGGGGCTGCGAAAAATTATCTCAGAAGTCAGCAAACTTTACAGCGAGCAATCAACATGGAAACATAATTCTAATAAAAACACAACCATCCGTATCCCGAGGCAAAAAATAACTTCTGCGCTCACGCTTGATGCTGTAGACATTAGTTTCTTCCCCCCTCGCTACAGGTTCTTTGTTGACTCCTGGAAAGTGCTTACCTGTCACTGCAGCACACTCGCCTGTCAGAGCGAGTGTGACACAAGCGAGCTGGAGCAGCCTGCAGCCAGGACCCGCCATCAGTCACCGACTGCCACACACAGACCCAGAGATGTCTAACTAACCAGTCTCTAAGGTACGTGTCGAGGCCACCCTGAAGCCTCTGCAGAGCGGCTCCGCACACAGAGACGGCGGCAGCAGTGCTTCCCTGCTGTCAGCACTATCAGCCTGCTGTGTGTGTGTGTGGCTGCCAGATAAGCTGCCCTCATAGGTTTCTGTGAAGAAGACCCAACTTGTGTGAATGCCACCAGCTCTCTGCTGAAAGTGCACTTCAGCGCCAGATGCTGCTTTTTTGCTGGCAAAGCACATTTCTTCCTCTGTGCTTATCTCGCGCTCCAAGGATGGCCACATCAGTGCCGACGCTGAAAAACTGCCTCCCATTTCCTCCCCCCGAAACTACCTGCGCTTGCAGAGGACACACACACACACGCAGACTTGTAAAAATACAAGATGGAAGAGAGCAGGTGTACACGGAGAGGCCGCTGCATGCACAGAAGTATGTGAGGATTACACTGGTAATCTTCAGGACACTGAGGCCGGAGGAGTCGCAGACGCATGTGTGACCAGATCCCAGCCCCGTCTGACATGTTCCAACCCACAGATACAGTAAACTATCCATATGACCTAATTATCATTTAGTCCCATTATATTTATATTTCCAACCCTCTTGTTAAGAAATTATAACAAGTATAAAAGGAAAGCGTTGTTCTCATGGTGATGGTCTTTATCTACTACTGTGTTCTGTTACGTCAGCTGCTCTGTCTGGTAATAGTTTTTAGCTTTCAATGCATCCATAGATTTACCTTTTTATAGCCATATCTGACTATTTTAGCTATTTTTATGCAGTTATTTCACCTTATTTGCCTCATGTTTGAAATGTAAAAATAATTTTAGCAGAAATAGATGTAAATTTCTCAGGATGTACTGCCGCTTAATTTCCTTTGTGGTAGTTTTCCATTATATTCATCTATATCTGCAAAGACCCGACTTTCCCTGGTAAGTACGGCATTAAACATTCATTTAACTATAATTTAAAGCCTTCCCTTCATACACATTGGTCAGTCATTCAGTCAAAACACAGAGCATTGTGTCAGGATGGGGAAATCTGAGGTTCGAGTGCAGCAGCAGTGCCTCTGTTACTGATGGCATATGAGAAAGCAAAACTTCCAAACAGCGGTTTTAAGACTAGATGTGAAAAACTGGGAGCCTGTCCTTCATGCACAGATAAAAACGCTGTAGCTGTGCGCTGTGTTTGTGTGCACTTGTGGCTATTCTGGGATAAACTCACTCGGCATCTTGTTAAATGAGATTAAGAGTCTATGTTTGGTGTGGCAGCTACCACCTGACCTCAGTGTGTCCACTCCTTCAAACGCAAACACACACTTAGAAAATCACTGAGAAGAGTTTGAACTTCAGCTGTAATTTCTCCTAATATGGATTTTTGAAGGGAAACGGACAAAATGTGCGATTATGTGAAGAAAAAGTTAGTCGAGAGAAACAAAGAGGACAGACGAGTACAAAACAATCAAGGCTGAAAGGTTTTTATTTGACAAGAACAAACAGAGAGACGACAGGCAGACAGGACACAACGATGGATTATGATGGAGGAAACAGACAAACAAGAAGTTACATGGATCATGCAGCATGATGTCAGCACAACAAGACTGAACGACAAACAATAAACACACAAAAGTCTACAGTGAGAGAGAGAGACATACAAAATGCAACGAAACGGTGACCACAGGAGCGGTGAATGTTGATAGGAAGCGTTGGCGCGGGGCCACGAGAGAATTTAGGCTTAAAATATCTGCGGCTCAGACAGCAAAGTGTTTTAGAGACGAAAAACTCCTTCTTTGGTACAAAACAGCACACAGTAGTCAGTCAGTCAGTCGGCGCAGTGCTCTGAACGCACATCAAGAACAAAGCGAGACATCTTGTTGTCTTCTAGCCCCTCTAGGTGCCTTTGTAACTACAACACTGTTTTTCATAGTTCACAAATGGATCCGCACG